GTTAGGTACACTACATTCGAAGCATGGTTTTAAAATGATTTTTGAGTCAGATAAATTATTTTATCTAAGAATGGTATGTTTGTGGGAAAAGGCTATGCTACAAATGGCATGTTCAAACTCAATATTGATAATGAAAATATTTCTGCTTATATTGTGGATTCTCTGGATTTATGGCATGAACGTCTAGGTTACGTGAATTTTAGATCCATTAAACTTATGGTAAATCATGGATTAATTAAAAATTGTGGGAAGGATCATATTGCTAAGTGTCTTACTTGTAGTAAGTGCAAGATAACAAAAAAGCCTTTTAAGTCAGTTCAAAGAAAATCCACACTGATATTTGTGAGATGAATTGTTTGTCACGTAATGGAAAGAGATACTTTATCACTTTTACTGATGATTATTCAAGATATACATATGTCTTTCCATTAAGAACAAAAGATGAGGCCTTTGAGACTTTCAAAACATATAAAGCAGAAATTGAGAATAAATTGAGTTTGAAAATTAAATCAATTAGATCTGATAGAGGTGGAGAGTACTTGAGTTCAGATTTTTATTAATTTTTGTGAAAGAGAAGGTATTGAGAAACAATTGACTACGTCCTACACACCACAGCAAAATGGTATAGCTGAAAGAAAAAATAGGACTTTCATAGAAATGATTAATTCTATGCTTTATGGATCGGGTGTGCTTGGAAATTTGTGGACTGAAGCTCTATTTTCAGCCAGTCATATTTTAAACCGAATTCCTTCCAAGAAATTTGATACATCACCTTATGAACTTTGGAAGAATCGAAAGCCAAATATTAATTATTTTAAAGTGTGGGGTTGTTTGGCTCATGTTAAATTACCAGATCAACATATGGCTAAGGTTGGCTATAGAGGAATTGATTGTGTGTTTATTGGTTATTCTCTAACCAGTAAGGCTTATAGATTCTTAAATCTTGAAACTCCAAGTCCACACACAATTGTTGAATCTGTACATGCTAACTTTTTTGAGCATATTTTTCCTAAGAAAGAAGGATCTCCAAAACAAGATACATGTTCTTCTACATCTCCTCTTAAAAGAAAATTAGTTGAATCATTAGAAGAAAGTCAACCAAGACGTAGTTTTAGATCAATTAAACCAAGAGATTTTGAACCTGATTTTCAGTTCTATTTGAAGATCCTGAAAGTTATCCTGAAGCAATGTCTTCACATAATGCCACTTTTTGGCTTGAAGCTATTGAAGATGAAATGCATTCTATCATGTCAAATAACACGTGGATTTTATTGGATCTTCATCCTGGATGTAAACCTATCGGTTGCAAATAGGTTTTAAGGAAGAAATTGAAATCTGATGGCACTTTAGATAAGTACAAAGCGCGTTTGGTGGCAAAAGGTTTTACTCAAATGAAAGATATTGATTATTTTTATACTTTTGCACCAGTAGCTCGGATCACATCCATCCGGCTTTTAGTTGCCTTAGCAGCAATTCATGGATTGATAATTCATCAAATGGATATGAAGACTACATTTCTGAATGGAGATTTAGATGAAGAAGTTTACATGAAACAACCAGAAGGATTTGTCATTCCTGGTCAGGAACATAAAGTTTGTAAGCTTCTTAAATCTCTTTATGGATTAAAATAAGCTCCAAAACAATGGCATGAGAAATTTCAAAAAACCATGATTTTTAATGGCTATTTAATTAATGATGGTGATATTTGCATATTTAGTAAATTTCAAGGAAACTCTGGTGTTCTAATTTGTCTATATGTAGATGACATGTTGATATTTGGAACTGATATTGAAAGGGTCAAGGAAACGAAATCATTTCTTGCTCTCAATTTGAAATGAAAGATCTTGGAGAAGCTGATGTGATTTTGTTCATTAAAATTGTAAGATCAGCTAATGGCTTGACTCTTACTCAATCAAGTTATATTGAGAAAGTTCTAAAGAGATTTGGTCATTTTGACGATAAGCCTGCTCCTACTCCATTTGATCCTAGCATCAAACTAGTGTGGATCTCTAGTGATGGTGTTGATCAATTGACTTATTCTCAGATTGTTGGGAGTCTAATGTATGTCATGCATTGCACTAGGCTAGATATTGGTTATGCAGTAGGAACCTTGAGCAAGTTCACTAGTAACCCTGGAGTTGAGCATTGGAATGCCTTAATTCGTGATTTAAGGTACTTAAAGGGTACAATTAGTGTTGGCCTTCATTATTCTATATTTCCAGCAGTTCTTGAAGGCTATAGTGATGCTACTTGGAATTCTGATCCGAATGACTCTAAGTCTATTACTGCTTGGATTTTCACTTTTGCTAGAGGAGCAATCTCTTGGAAATCAAAGAAGCAAACATGTATTACTCACTCAACAATGGAATCAGAATTTATAGCTATATCTTCTGCAGGGGAAGAAGCTGAGTATTCTGGTAGATATTCCTCTATGGAGTAAGCCAGTGCCACCTTTGACTATTTATTGTGATAATAAAGCTGCTATATTTTGGGCTTCAAGTGATTGTTATAATGGCAAATCAAGACAAGTTCATCTTAAACACAGTCATGTGAGAAGATTATTGGAGGATGGCGTAATATCCCTTCAATATGTGAAATCCGGGTTTAATTTAGCAGATCCTTTGTCTAAAGGATTAGGCAAAGAGTTGGTGGTAGAGACTTGTAAAGGAATGAGAATAAAACCTGCTGTAAATTGATTGTACTTTATAGAAACCCTACCTAATGATATCATCTTAGGTTCAAAGGGACAAACAAGAAATGTTACATTAATTGAGTACATTATTAAAACTTTTATTTGCAGAAAATTTGTAATAGATGTGCATATTCCTACTGTAGAGGAGGATGAGATTTTATTCTCTTAATAAATCTATAAGATCGATTTCGGTTGGGGTGTGTAGGAACACTCTTGATAGATTTACCGATACTTTGTTGTGAAGGAGGGTGAGATTATTTTCTCTTAATAAATTCATAGACTATTTGGTCGGAGTATGCAAAATAAACTCTTGATGAATTCACTGCTCTAAGTGCGAAGTGGAGGCCGCTTCAATAAGATTTTTGACAGGAAAATCTTAAAGCACTTAGATAAAAAGATTCAGGACACGGCCGTAAGGTGTCAAAGGATATCGATTTTTACCAAAAAAATAGTAATGTGCGTAAGGTATTTCTACTTCATTCAGTGAACTACTTAGTTCAAGATCTGTTCACCAAGTAGTCAATGATTTAGAATGCCTTCACTAGCTAATGGTTCAAGTCCAAAAGATACCATTATTGATGCATGTTACTAGATTAATGTCTCAAAATTTTTAAAATTTCTTGAACAAGTGGGGATTGTTGGAATAAGTGTTTCAATAAATTTGAAATAATGTATTTGATAAATTAATGTATTTACAAAAGACTCTTATTTTTCAAATTAATGTGAATTCATTCTTGATTTACTATATACGTTTTAGTTTTAGCAAATACATTTGATCTTCCAAATTCATGAATATATTCATGAACTTATTAAATAATAAACTTATCTTTCAAGAGTCTTTAGCCTATAAATAGGGCTGATTTTCTTTGAAAAATACAAGCAATTCAAAAAACTACTTTTCCCTTAAAATATTATAAGAGACATTGATCAAATGGTGATATCATAGACTCAAGAATAGAAGAGCAACATTCTTGAATGCTACTTGTTGTGTGGCTTAGTTAAATCCCGGAGATAGAGTTATTATTTATTCTTCCGTTTGCTCGTGGAAGAGACTCCAACTATCTTCAAGAAACGTTTTCTCTACATGCCTCTAAGCCAAGCAAGTTTATTTTCTAATATTGTTGTAATTTTTGTTCTAACAGTTGTTGTTGTATAATAGTTACTGCTAAAAATTTTAAAAGCTTAACTTATCATTAAGTTCAAATTTTGAATCTCCTTATGTTTGAATTCCTCACTTTATTTGTACTAAACAACGAGATGGATTTCCGTCATTGTGGCACTTACTCATTTACATGAATTGCGAAGTGAAACTTAACATTTTTCTTTTTCATTTTATATATTAATATTTTTGTCTTAGCTCCTTTACATGCGGGGATATTTGGCAGTGGATTTGAGAAACTGAGAGCTGAAGGGAAAGAAAAAAAATACTGATATATTTTTATATATATATATATATATATATATATAGGACCAAATGCAAACCCTTCACCCTTGGTATAGATTACAAAAGCAAGCAAAAGCTCTCCCCATCCACACAACGGGATTCCTGGCAGGTATTTTTAGCAATAGATCCGTAAATTAGGGGAACCCCATATATGTGTTCGAGAGACAAATATTAATAATGTTAAATTCTTCTTTTAGTTGGTTTTATGTCACGGGATTTAGAGTATAATTGTCAAACTATTTAATTTAGTGATAATTCATACATACATAATATGTATAAACTACATTAAGAGTAGCATAATCTCAATAATTACTACTTCAAATATTATTTTTTAAAAATAGTGGTAAAAAAGGTTCTTTGACTTTCTAAATATTACTCCCTCCGTTCCAATTTATGTGAACCTGTTTGACTGGGCACGGAATTTAAGAACAAATGAATACTTTTGAAATTTGTGGTCCTAAACAAGTGAAAAAGAGGCCCAGAGTATTTGTGTGGTTATAAAAGCTTCTCATTAAGGGTAGAATTGTAAGTTTAAGCTAAATTGTTACTAAATTTAGAAATGGATCATTCTTTATGGAACGGACCAAAAAAAAAATAGGTTCACATAGACTGGAACAGATGGAGTAATAGTTTAACATCCAGTAGAACATAGTGAATACTAATTTTAAAAAGAACTTCTTGAACTCAAAATTCATTATCATGTTTATATGTTGTATTCAGCAGAGAATGGGGTTCCTTCATTGGTCAACTTTTTATATTTATACATATATATTAAATATTGAATTTTTTTAACTTCTTGACCGGAAAGACATGACACACAATGTAGAAAGGAGGAAAGGGGGGGCATGTTCTCACCACCCATGCGGATTGTCTTATACCAAAAATCCACCCCATATCATTCATCCAATTAAAGCCTTCATTGACCAGTCTGGACCTAACCCAAACCCTAATCCTAACACAACTTAGCTAAAAACCAAAGCTCCCCAACATAAAGGGATCTCCTTCGCCCAACTTATCTCTTCTCTTTCTTCATTTTCCCTATTCATCTACTGCTCCAAATCTAAACCGTTGAACAGAAGAGAAAAGATTAGTAGGTGTGCAACACCAAATGATATGTATAATACATGACTTATCATATGAGCTTAGAGATTAGAAATATGGTTGACTAGTGAGCTTCTTCAGCTGAATTTTTTTTTTTGGGTGAGTTCACTTCGCCTTTCCAGATCTATTTACACAACTGTAAAGTTCAGCCTGAAATTTTCAAATTTCAAGAAAGCTCTAAGCTCAAATTGGAGGAAAAGAAGAATAACAAACTAAAAGGATGGATCATAGTCGTCCACTACCACCTCCTTTTCACACAAGAAATCTTCATCTTTCCAACCAATTCCATCATTTGCAACAACAACAACAACATACTGACGACGAACAACAAAATGAAAATCGAGACCAACAACGAGGTGGAGATGACGATTTTAGCTTTGGGAATACAAGAGAGGGTGGTGGTGAAGGTACTAGAAGACCTAGAGGAAGACCATCTGGCTCTAAAAACAAGCCAAAGCCGCCTATCATAATTACTCGAGATAGTGCCAATACCCTAAGATCTCATGTTATGGAAGTTTCCGACGGTTGTGATATCCAAGAAAGTATCTCTACTTTTGCGACGAAACGCCAGCGAGGCATTTGTGTTTTGAGCGGTAGTGGGACGGTCACAAACGTCACGCTGAGGCAACCGGCATCTCCGGGAGCTGTGCTGACTTTACACGGAAGGTTCGAGATTCTCTCCCTTTGTGGTTCTTATTTGCCACCGCCAGCACCATCAGCAGCTTCATGGCTGACGATATACTTGGCCGGAAGCCAAGGCCAAGTGGTTGGCGGTGGTGTGGTGGGACCACTACTGACGTCTGGTCCAGTAGTAATCATGGCGGCTTCCTTTGGGAATGCCGCATACGAAAAACTTCCTCTCGAGGATGAAGAATCACCAGTAGCGCAAGGAATTGCAAGTACCCAGCAACAAGATCAGCAAATTATGGCTAGTGAGTCTAATGCTTCTTTCCAAGGATTTCCTCCAAATCTTTTAAATTCAAGTCAATCACAAGCCGAGGCTTATTGGGAAAATTCAGGGCGTCCTCCTTATTGACAAAAATGAGAAAGTTAAATTTAGTTTTAATTCTTTTTGCACTTTTCTAAAGACATGGCTCCAATTCTATTACTGCTTGGATCTCACTTTGCATCACTTCTTTGGCAAGTAGTAGTCGATTCAACAATTCTTTGTTGTTTTTCATTTTATGACAACAGTGCTTGCAGTTAATGAAGCTTCTCTTCTCTGATGGTATTGTAAGATGAAGTACTTGGCAAAAAATTGGAATTCACTCATAATCAGGGGCGGAAGGGTGTTCACCTGAACCCCGTACACCGAAAAATTACATTTTATATATATGTAAAGCAAAATCTATTTTTTATCTCTATATATTATGTTTTGAATCCCCTTGATGCATCCCAAAAGCATAACTTAGTGGACAAGGGGTTCAAAACTTTTGTAAGGTCATTGGTTCTATTCCCACTAGCTATAACTTTTTTACCCTTTTTTTTTGAACCCCCTTCACAATAATCCTGCCCCGTCACTGCTCATACCTGTGTCTCCCTCTCTCAGTGTATTTTCCCTTTTTTGTTCCTTAAGTTGTTTGACGATGATAACTCAGTCATTTACTTCATGCCGAAGAAAAGCCACTCATTTTCACGGTAAAGAGTAGGTTTGGTTTCAATATGTAAATATTTTTAAGTACATTTTTTCTGACCTGAGTTTCAGACTTCTGGATAAGCCTGAAAAAGCCGGGGCGTATACATTATATTTTTGGTTCGCAATAAAGCTACGATTGATCGAGCCTTAAACCAAACAAACTCATCATCCCCAATTCTTTTCATGTTTTTTATCTTCTTCTTCTAAGCCACTAATCATGAAAGCGGTCATGATAATATCTTCGACCAATTTAAATCATATTAAATTGGGAGAATAAACTTTTTTATAACAACAAACAACAACAACATATCCAGTATAGTCCCACGGGTGGGGTCTAGGGAGGGTAGTGTATACACAGACCTTACTCCTACCTGGAGAGATAGAGAGTTTTGTTTCCGATAGACCAAGAAAAACTTTTTTATACTAGTAGTGTATTTTATTGCAACTTTCTTTATTTCAATTTATGTGACAATTTCCTTTACTCTAAATTCTCATTACTTGGAGAGATGATTCATAGTCACAAAAATCTCTATATCTTGTTTTAGATCACATATTTCAAAAGTCGGGTTTTCTTTCTTAAATTCATGCGTAATCAAACAAAGCCAAATGGAAAGGAGGGAGTAACATGTTATAGCGAGCAATATGGCTCGTTTTACCATTTTGGTTATCCCATTTTGTATTTTAGTGGTATGTATATCTGATAGTATAAACATATCTATGCATAAAAGTTAAACTCCACGCCGGGTTGCTGCAACATCATTGGCAGAAGAGGTTCTTAGCACCAATGCTAATGGTAATTTAGAAAGCAAAAGTTAGCTACAGATTTTACAGCGAGGATGCTAAGGGTATGTAAGCATGGAAATGTACAGACAAGTATATATGAGTGCGTGCAAAATGGCAAGGAGAAGGAGTAATAAACTCACAGAGGTGTGGGCATATTATTCCAAGTAATACTTCTTTGGATTTCGTTTTGACTGTTATTTAAGTGAGGGTTAATACTATGAATTGAGCAGCAGTAGGCAGTGTTGCAGAGAGACAAAAACATTGGGTACTCCGGTTACTCGTGCACTTCTATGAACTTAGCTCCTTTTCAAGGCAAGTAACACTTTTACAGAGGCATTATTGCAGCAAGTAGCACATGTACACTTCCTTAACTAGCACATAGCTTTTGCTCCTGCTTTAACTACATCCACCTGTCTTTCCTTTATCTCTCTCTACAATTCAACTTATAGTATACTTCATATGTTCTTTGGTACTCCCTGTTAGAATATACTACAAGCCATGCATAGTGTTATAGTATTCTTTATGAACAATTATTTATTTACTTGTTTAAATTCAATAAAGTTTCATTTTAAATAGATCATGTGTTAGTTTGTGTGTCCATTGCTTACATAGTAGATGATTTAGTGTATAGAGTTTAGCTTATACACGGAAGATTAAATCATCGGTTCTTGTAAGACATAAAAGTTAATGTTCGCAATCTAATGATGGAATTGGACAAATCATCGGAATGATTGTAGCACAAGATTAAATATAATTTATCTTGGTTATGGGAATGGTTTAATTCCAACTTCTTGTGCTAGTACATTTTGTACGTATTGAACAGATCAAATAGAGATAAGTATTTTATACTGACTTTATAAAATAATTTCTCTAGTCCATTTAATGTACTTATACTCTTAATCCTGATATAGTTATTATTAGCTGTGTATGTCACTTGTTATTTTGATTTATTAAAAGGCGAGATTCTTTCGCGAGTCAATAAGCCTGGTAAATTGGATAACAATGATATACATTGGCGAAGTAATAATTAGTTGATGGAATCCATGTCTCGGTTTTGAGATAGATGATACTCCTTTATGAAAGCTTATAAGTTTTCATGTGTAAACCCGGTCGGTGAATTTTGTATCCGACACATGAAATAAGTTAAGTGTAAGTCTAAAGGAAGTAATCAATAAATTAAATAGTCAGTAATTTAATTTGATTGATTAGTATCTGAATCTTAACATGGGGAGTTAAATAAGGTTTTATGGAAGAATTTCGAAATTGAACTAAGGAGTGCAATTACGAATTTTTAGTGGAATAATTCGTAGTTTATTATGATGGGAATTAATTTCAGAATTTCGAAATTAATATCATAATAGGAAGCCTTGTTAATTAAATTCTGTGGTCCCTACTGTGCCTAAATAATAGGAAATAGTGGAAACTGTTACTTAGTGGGAAAGAAAACGTGTAAACCGTCCCTTAGTGGGAGAAGGAAACCTAACAGGTTTTGGAAACGGTTTTGACCTAAAAAACGCAGCTATATATATATATAGGGGCTGGACGTTTTTTTTTTATTTTTTCTTACTGCGGTTTCTGCTAGAATTTTGCCCACCCAAAATTCTATTTTCGGTTATTGTTTGGGTAACACAGTAGAAGACTGTGAAAATCTGCTGGTGCGTTTTCAACTAAGGAACTGGAGAACGACATAGATTTGCTGTGTTTACGCTTCAAGAGGTAATCCGAAAATCTCCGTATGTGCTAGTTGTTTAGATTACACGTGAATAAGATACTGGGATTGCTTCCGCTGTTTATTATAATCCATCAATTGGTATCAGAGCCAGGTTACGTCTAATTAAATAATTAGGATAACCATAAGGATTAATATCATGTTCTATATGTAAAATTTTGAATTACATGCAAAGCTTGTTTTTCTGAAAACCTGTTATGGGTTGTATTGATTGTCTGTTATGGGTTGTATTGATTATTCTGAAAACTTGATTTATCCTTTTAATATTGGTGAGGTTGAGTTAGAATAATCCGAAAGTTGAATTTTATCATGTAAAACGGAAAAATAATTTTTTGCCGAATTAGGGCAGAAAATCGGAGGTCAAAAAGTTGACGGACTCCGATTGACCTGAAACTTGGCAGGTCCATGCGAAACGGCCCAATGAGCAATACTCATGGATACCTAAGTCGTTTTTTGGGCTTTCGGGGTCGTTTAGATGGTGTTTTTGCTGTTTTTCTAAAATTCTGAATTTTTTTTTGCTGTTTTTAATTCCAGTAATTGTGGGGATCAATTCCCTTGGTCCCCGGGGTTAAAAATCAGTGATATAATATTTTTACACATTGACGTAGGTCTTTTTTCATATCGGATAAAAATATTATGAATAATCACTGTGTTATACTAGTCATTGATTATTTGTATTTACTCTCCATCTGAGTATGCATGTTGGTTCAATGTGACTAATATATGTTGAATGTTGATATTCACTTGGCTTAAATTAACAGTTTACTCTCCATCTGAGTATGACCTGTTTAAGTTTATGGAGTGAAAATCTGTCATTATATATGTACATTGCAAGAATAGCTTCTTTCCCATCGAAATTTGTTGTTCAAGGTGCATAGATTGTATATATATAGTGTGTTTTGAATTTTAATGTTCATAATACAAACTGATTTGATCTATTTAAATATTTAATGTCTCTCAGATTGACAATGACTGCTTTCAATCCCCTTACTGCAATTCTTACTCAAAACAAACTTGAGGGTCCAAATTGTGAGCACGTGATTTTTGCCCTATATATGAATCATTCCCAAAATTCAAACAAAATAATTTCTTTTCATTATTTGCAACTTTTTTTTGAATTTTGTGGCATTTTTGTGTTAATTGTTTGCATTTGTTTGTGCATGTTTATTTTATTTAATTCATGAAAAATACAAAAAAATATGTTGCATTTGCATTTAGGATTTAATTTGGCATTTTTTTAAAATTAGTTAGTAATCTATTTGTTGTTACAAAAATAGAAAATCACAAAAATAAACGCAATTTTGTACATTTTAGANTTGGATTATTCTTACTGCGGTTTCTGCTAGAATTTTGCCCACCCAAAATTCTCTAATTTCGGTTATTGTTTGGGTAACACAGTAGAAGACTGTGGAAATCTGCTGGTGCTTTTTCAACTAAGGAACTGGAGAACGACATAGATTTGCTATGTTTACGCTTCAAGAGGTAATCCGAAAATCTCCGTTTGTGCTAGTTGTTTAGATTACACGTGAGTAAGATACTGGGATTGCTTCCGCTGTTTATTATAATCCATCACTCCCTACGTTCAATTTTACTTGTTTACTATATTAAAAATATATTTTCACTTTCATTTATCTGCTATACTAAATCAAGAAAAAGACAATTTTTTTTTCCTGTTTTACCCTTATCATTAACTACTAATTCCTCAAGTCATGTCCCAAGACATTTGGAGATCCTGTCATTATTATGAATAAAATGGTAAAATATATATTTTATTTATTGTTTCTTAAGGGGCGTGAAAAGCCCAAGTATAGTTGTCTATTTGGCATTTCCCTAAGAAATTATATATTAAAGGTGTATTTTATTAAATTATTCTTGTTAATGATAATTAAAGTTGTAACTCTAATAAATGGAGAAATCGTGAGTACTTAATGCTAAGGGTAATATTGGATGAAAATAATATATCTTTCTTAATTTGCTAAAATAAACAAGTAAAAAAGAAAAATTTATTTAGTACGTACAGAACTAGTAAAAGAGAATGGAGTAGTACAGACTTTTTATGCTATGAGTACTCTTGTTAT